TCCATCTCTTGAATTCTGTTGGTTATGCTTGCGTGTGTAGTTCCTGATTTTTTGCCCAGTTTTTCTATTTCCAGCATTCCATTGGTGTGTGTTGCCTTTATTTTCTCTATTTCAGTTTTCAAGTCTTGAACTGTTTCCTTCACCTGCTTAATTGTTTTTTCTTGGCTTTCTGTACTTTCTTTACTTTCCTTAAGAAATTTGTTCCTTTCTTCCACTTTTTGTTTTTTTTTTTTCCATTTCTTTAAGGGATTTTCTCACTTCTTCTTTGAGGGCCTCTATTATTTTTATGACGGTAATTTTTAAGGCATTCCCTTCTTCTTCCTCTGCTTTGTTGTTGTGTTGTGTTCTAGTTTGGGTAGATTCCCTAGATTCTGGTGGTGTCAATGCTTGTCTTTCTTTGTTAGGTGTTTTCTTGTATTGCCATCTTCCCATAGCTTCTTCCAGTAGGTGTTGGTGGGGTCTTCCCCTCTCTCTATGGGACTTCCCTGGTGGGCTTTTGTGGGTCAGAGGTTCAATATCTGTAGCTCTGTGTGGGCCAAGCTCTCTAGGAGGTCTCTCCACAGACCGTGGCCCGGGGATGGGGTCAGCAATGGGGTTCCAGTTGAAGATGCCGGCAAGAACTCAGAGTGGTCCTGCAGAGATAGGCAGATCTCTGGGTGGGGCCCAGGACTCTATCAGAGGACCAGCGGTGGGGGTCGGAGACCAAGCAGATGGAAATTACGGGTGGTCCCACGTGGATAGGCAGGTCTCCTGGGTTCAGAGTCACTCCGAGAAGTCCCCTGAAGTTGTGTGGACTGTTGGCTACACCCTCTGTCCCAGTGCTCAACCAGAGTGGCGGGACAATGGGCAGGGTAGGGCACAGGGTGGGGGGGGGCAGGCTTGAGGTGGGGATGGGTGGGGGAGCTCCAAGGGTGCTCTGGATGGGGACAGTACACAGGAGCAGGGGGATCTGGGGCTAACCCAGGGAGTTTCAGGGGGTGGGGAGGTTGTAGGGGAGAGGCCATCCCAATTGGGCCCATACTCACCTCTAGGCAATGGCTGGCGGAAGAGGACAAAGGCTGGGCTGATACTGGGGATGTTTCTGCACCAATAGGCAGATCTCAATGGGACCTGGCTCTCTCCACCTGAGGCTTCTTTCTTTAGCAGAGCCCTTGCTTGGGGGGTCAAGGATCCTGCTGGAGGGAATTCAGAGTGGATCTGCAGAGATAGGGGATAGGCGGAACTCTGGGAGGGGCCTGGGACTCCAGCAGTGGACTGGAGATGGGGGTCGGAGACCAAGCAGGTGGAAATTACCTAAAAACAGCTTGTTACTGGCATTAAAAACAGACAGGTGGATCAATGCTATCAAAATTAAGACCCTGACATAAATCCACACAACTATGAACGCCTGATTTTTGTCAAAATATCCAAAATGGAACAATGGAAAAAGGAAAGCATCTTTAATAAATAGTGCTGGCATAACTGGATGTCAACATGTAGAAGTTTGCAAATAGATACGTATCTATCGCCATGTACAAAACTCAAATCCAAGTGAACAAAGGACTGTAACGTGAGGTTCCAGCAGTTGTTTTGCCCCAAATAAACACACAGATGCTATATTAATTATGAAACTGTTGGCAGATGACTAGGGCTTCTTATTGACTAGCTGTGTCTTAATTATCAACCCATTTCTATTAAATTATTTCCACACATGGTCTTATCTTACTGAAGAGAGGTCTGGCACATCCTACCTGGTCTCTTGTGGCATCTGCTGTTGCCTATACTTCCCAGAATTCTCATATCCTAGTCCCACCTATCTCTTTGCCTCTATTGGTCACAGTGTTTTATTCATCAACCAATAAGAGAAACATATACACAGATGGACTTCCCCCATCAAAGGACCTCAACATAAATTCAGCTACATTGAACCTGATAGAAGAAAAAGTGGCAAGTAGCCTTGAACACATTGGCACAGGAGACCACTTCCTAAATAAAACACCAGTATCACAGATATTGAAAGCAAAAGCCAGGTCCTTTGCATGTGAGAGACAATTGTGAAGCTTGAACTATCTGTGGGGCCCCTGGTAGTAGGACCACGATACAAACCTAATACATAAACTAGCTTGTTGGAGCCCATTCCCTATGGTGGGATGCCATGCTCAGCCTTAATGCATGGGAAGGGGCTGGGCCCTGCCCCAGCCTACTGTGCCAGACATTGTAGACTCCTCATGGGAGCCCTTACCTGTGAGGAGGAGTGGACTGGGTGGATTGAGAGGGTAGATGAAGGAGGGTGGGTAGGAGAACTGTGGTTGAAATGTAAAATAAAATTTAAATGGGTAAATAATTTACAAAAGAAAGAATTGTATTGGAATTTTGATAGGGGATTGCATTGAATCTGTAAATTACTTTTGGTAGGACAACCATTTTCACTTTATTATTCTACTTATTCATGAGCATTGTAAATCTTTCCATCTTCTAATTTTTCTTCAGTATCTTAAAATTTTCACTATACAATCTTGCACTTGTTTGGCTAGAGTTATTCACATATATATATATATACACATATATATATATATTCTCTCAGAATATGTATTCCTCATGTTATCTAAAGTATAACTAACTTCTTCAGACTGAGATCTTCCTATTATTGTCTTATGTAGAGATGAATTGCTGGAGAGAAATTTACATTTTTTAATCTTGAAATGTTTTTCTTTCTCTGTCAATTGTAATAAATAATTTTGTTTTGTATACCCTTTGGGCTGGCATCTGTGCTCTTTTGGATATTATATAACATCTATTCAGGTCCTTACAGCTTTAAAAGTCTCCATTGAAAAGCCAGGTGCTTTTTTTTTTTTTTTTTTTTTTTTTTTTGAGCAAGTTATCTCTCCATAGAGAATGGGCTCCACAAAGTCGGTTTATGCATTATAGTTAGATCATGGTCCCACTACCAGTGGTTTCATATACTGCCCAAGTCACATGTATTCAGGGGTCCTACCTAGTTCAGTCCTATGCAGGTTCCCAGTTGACAGTGTGGATCAGTCAAGACCACGATGGGGAAATCACAGAATCAGCTGATTAGAGCTAGGTGTTCTTGTAATGGGCCTACTTTTACATGTGATTTGGTCTTTTCCCCTTGCAGATCTTACCATTCTTTGTTCAATACATTTAGTGTTTAGATTATTATGTCATGGAGAATTTTTTTGGTCCTGTTTATTTTGTGTTCTTTATGTCTCTTGAACCTATTAGGCATCTTTTAGAGACTATTCTATAATTTTGTTAAAAATACTTTCTGCGCCTTTGACTTGAGTTTCTTCTTCGTCTACACCTATTACTCATAGGGGTTTTATAATATAATGTCTGAGAATTCCTGGATGTTTTTGCCTGGGTTGTTTTTAGATTTATCATTTCTTTGACCAAGCTGTCCATTTCTTCTACCTTATCTTCAATACCTTTAAGTTTCTCCTCTATGTCTCTTAACCTGTTGGTGAGACTTACTTACAAGGCTATGGTTTGACTGCTTGGTTTCCCATTTCAAGCTTTATTTCACTTTGACTTTTCTACAGTGATTTTATTTCTTTGTTAAATTCTGTTTATTTCATTCAACTGTGTTTCCACTGAGGCTTTTTATCCTCTTTTAAGGATATAAAATACATATATCCTTTGAACACATTCATAATTGCTATTTTTGGAGTTCCTGTTTTGTACTTAAGCCAAATTGATTTTTTAGGACATCTTAAAATAAAAATTTGTTTGTTTGTTCATTTTTTGAGACAGAGTTTCTCTGTGTAGCTTTGAAGCCTACCCTGGAACTCACTCTGTAGACCAGGCTGGCCTTAAACTCACAGAGATCCACCTGTTTCTGCCTCCCAAGTGCTGGGATTAAAGGAGTCTGACACCACTGCCCAGCTAAATAGAAGTTTGTTTTGCAGAAGGTGGTGATTACTGTAGAATGAGAATTCATCACTGTGCAGAGAATGAGGAACTGTGGAGAAAGGGACAGTAGACTGTGAGAGAGAAGTAGTGGATAATTCCCTATATTTTCTGAACATTATTCTCTTGTAAGGTGAATATTTAGCAAAGACTTTATTTATTCCTTCTTAGGTTGCCTAATCATTTCATTGTTCTCTTCTCCGTAGAAGGTTGAAAATAGCATACAATTCCACTTGTCACTTCTTGTTATTATTTTCTGGGCTACTAATTATGCCTAACCCAAGAGCTTAGGAATTTGAGGGTGGATCTATGATGTCAGTGTTTAAATGGTTTCCAGGTGATCATATCATACTATCACAATATGCACACTTTTGCATTAACTAAATGATTTCTAATATTAGCAATGAGGAGCCAATGCCTCATATGGAGCAGGTAATACATTTTGTGTCATTTATCGCACACTGTTAGTCAAGAAAGAGATTATGTCTGATGTCACAACAGTAAATGACAGAACTGGGCTTTCCAGTCAGCCTTCTCTGACAAAGCCCTTTCTACTACAAGCTCCCTACTGTTCATATTCTTTTGAGGAATAGTAGCCCGATTGGGGGACAGTTAAAATTCTGCCATGGGCCTGCTAAGTCACAGATTCCATTTTAACACTATGTTCTGTACAAATTCTGTGACACTCTTAATTATCACATATTGGAGCTCTTTACACATTTCCACCCAGAAAACAAAACAAAACAAAGCACGAATCCAAACAAGCAATGTTGATGAGCCAAGAGCTATGTTTATTGTAAGCAATCCTTCGGCTGAGGTCAATTGTTTTTATATAGTGTTTGATAAATCATGAATTAGTTCTTTATGGTCTAAAAAAGCTGATAAATTTACATAAAATGTGATCTCTGGAAAAGTTTTACTTGTGACACCACTTTGGAAGTTTCTTAGGATTTTCTTTAGGTTTCTTGATAACTAGAAACTAGAAGTATCAGTATCTTGTCGGAATAACCATTTTCTTTCTGATCAGAAAACCAAAATCATGCATACTAAATACACACAACCCTAGTGGAAATAACAGCCAAGGCCCCAAAACCAATTTAAGGATGTCTTTATTTACATGATACAAATGTTTCATATTTAACAAGAATTGAAGGACTTAATTTTACAATGTTTTCAATTATCTGTCTTTATGATCAAATATACAGATGTTACACTATATATACACTATGTCCAAGTATTTTACATTCATACACTAGAAAATTGGGTGCTTATTTTTTCACATTAGAGTCAACTATATTATTCTGATACGCCCTTTCAAACTCAGCCAACAAGTCAAAAGAAAAATCAAGATAATATTTATTTTTTTAATAATAGTTAATTATCTCTTAAAAGATGAAATACCAGTTTGGTTCTACAGTGAATGATTATATGCTAATGGTACTTATGATATATTTGAGTTCCCATATACCATAATACACAACACAATTCTGTTATCACAATGGGCTCTATGGCCTGCTTGTTCCCAAAATTGTCTTTACTTTGCATTTAGTATTCACTTTTTAAAATATACTAAAATATGACTTAATATTTTATTAAGTTGACCACAATGAATTTTAGGACAAAGGATAACCTTCATGTGACTTTCAGTGATCTCTCCCAACAAATTAACCATCATGTAGAAGCCATGTGTTATTTTATCTTGAAATACAGAAAAGACACAGCATTTGGCCATGCCCTTAGCTTAGAAAGTTGAATTTTGAGCCAAAACTAGCAGAAGATCACTTACAGAATGAAAATTTTTTTTAAAGCTTAAAGGAAAAAATAAAGTAATAATATGATAGAGGCATCTATAATTTAGAGGCTAAGGTCAAAACCTGGGTACAAGGATTTTATCAACAAACAAGTACCTGGCTATCTTCTACTTGATTTCCTTTGCAGTTCAGTGTTTTCATATGTTGCTCTTCCCTGGACACCAGTAGTCCATTTAGTCATCTCCATTTATTCTGTGTTTTTTTCATTGCCAACCTCATTCCTCCCTATACACTTGTAACAAAAGCAACATTGTCTCTTTCTGTAACCTAGCAAGATTGAGGGGCATGGGTAAAGATGAATTATAACATTAAATACATGCTCATAGTTTTTGTTAAAATACTTAAATTAAAATTTACATAACATTTTGCTCCTTTGGTGAGAACTGAAGATTAAATTTCTACATTCATACATATGCATATAAAGTCACAGACAGGGCTTTTAGATAGATCTAGTGGTGTAATACTCTAAAAAAAAAATCTAGGGAACCTATAGTTTAAGTGTTATATGAAAAAAAGTAATTTGATTCTAATGAAACTAAGAATGAAGAAGTTACACTAAAAAATGAAAACACTAATATATTCCTCTTTTTCTAATTTTAGATTATAAATACCATTATCTTAGATCTAGTAAGATGAACATCATGTGACATAGGAAAGTAAAGTTCCCTTCTACTCTATATAAAGCAGAGATAATTGCCAAGTAAGACCTGTGCTTCCTAGGCATTTTTCTTTCTTTCTTTTTTTTTTTTAAACTTATTTATTATGTATACAATGCTCTGCCTCCATGTACGCCTTTATGCCAGAAGAGGGCACCAGATCTCATTATAAATGGTTGTGAGCCACCATGTGGTTGCTGGGAATTGAACTCAAGACCTCTAGAAGAGCAGCCAGTACTCTTAGCCACGGAGCCACCTCTCCAGCCCCAGCTTCCTAGACATTCATCTGCTCTTATTCATGATCATTTGCTATGACAACACACTGCAGAGAGCTCACGATTAACAATGCATTGCAGCCAAAATGTTCTGAACAACTTAAACTTGGGAGATAAACAAATGTCATCCGAAAATAACTGAAGGAGAGAAAGCACTTCTATCCCAACAAAGAGGAGAAAGAAAACAGAATCATGAATTCAAGAAGTAATTTTGGGAAAAGGTTTTAGAAGATAATAATGACTTTTTAATGACCCTGGAGTACAATGGAATTTACAGTTGTTTTTAAAACAGTTGTGACTGCAACAAATACTTAGTTTAGAAAATTCTGTAAGAAACATTTATAAGGTCAATTCTTATAATTTAAAAAAAAAATTGGTGTAAGTCACCCAGTGAAGATACCAGGGCAGTCTTTATGTTGAACTGAAGCCACAGAAAACCCAACAGAGCTGATAAAACAGCCCAGAAGAAACGAACTGTTTCACTACACATATCCTTTATAAAACTTAAACCCAGTTGATAGCATCTGCAGCCATGGAACAATGTGTCCCATTCCGTTCCTTGTGCTCAGCAATTTCAATCACCATATTGCTTCTAGGAAGTTGGTTCTCTATATGATGTGTCTGAGGGCCTTGAACTCACTCACACCTGGAGAGTTTTATTGCCTGGCATTATTATAAAAGAGGCTAGTGGCATTTTTCTTTATTGAGCTCCATGTAAAACTCAAGATAAAAATGTGTACCCCATCTCACATTTACAAAATGGTAGTCTTTCAACAAATGCAACATGTAAGTTGAAAATCTGAGTGCTTTGAATGAGTAACAGTTTTACCAAATAAATAGTTTCAAAGAAGGGCACTTTTCTTGAAGATGACTTTTGAAAGCACTGAATCAGAAAAAGCAACACATTAAGAAACATAGAGAACATTTATTTGAATAGGAAAACATCTGCTATTTTCAGGCTCAGTTTATCACAAAACCTAACTTATCTCCAAAAGAATAACTTCTTGGATTAGAGTTTATTTGAGTTAATTTTTTGAATATGTGCATATGTACAGAAATTTGAGTTTCATGCCAGGTGGCTTCCCTGGCACCTGTCTATCTCACTCACTGAGACAAGCTTCCTTGTTGTACCTATACTTGCTGTTTTGGCTGTCTGCTAGTAAATTTGCACCAATGTTTCCTGCCCCTGCCTCTGCTGTGCTGGATCATGCTTACCTTGCCTTTGTGTGGGTCTGGAGATCTGACTGAACTGATTCTCACCCTTGCATAGAAGTCTCCTTAGTCTCCTTAGCCACAGAGTTGAGTTTTTAATAAGTAATTAATATTATTCTATTGCTTTTCTTCTACTGAAAGTATTAGTGATTCTTTTGAGAGAGAGAGAGAGAGAGAGAGAGAGAGAGAGAGAGAGAGAGAGAGAGAGAGAGAGATGGGGACAGCCACTCACTAGGCTTGGCTGAGATTATGGGGAGGGCAGTGAAGATGGCTGGAATGGCCACAGATCCTCTCTGGCACTGACATCCCTTATTTAACGAACCATAAGAGCATGCTCACACCCTTTTATGAGTATTCCTTCAATAATCTAAGTTAAACAGCATTGAGTATCTATCCACATTACTTATAATCAAGAATTTACTGGTAGGCAAATATGTAGTCTTCATACTGATCAAATATTTTTTTAAATAATCTCACATAAATCTTTTAAGTGGGATATCCCATTCATTTATTCTATTCATATTTACAAAAGTAATCTTTATTCTGATAGTCACTCTAAAGTTTTACTGCTTCTCTTTTCTTGAGATATGAAAAGTAAAGTAACATGTCTAGCTATTGTTTAATTTTGTCAACAGGTACACTGTACACCTATCTCTTTTTTCTACCACCTAAATGCAGCATCAATATTGACAACTAGAAAAAAGAAACAATGTGCAATTTCTTTTTATTTGGCCCTCATTTAGTAGGGAATAAGAAGTTGCCTTTTTGTTTCTCCCATTAGGGGCTCTGAATAGATGGTTTAATGTTAATGATCATGTCTGGTATTTCATAGACAAAGTGAACCTAACCTAATTGGTTCCCTTGCTCTTTTGGAGTAGAAAAAAAAACAAGAGACTTTTATTTTTATTTTTTTTTTTAATGCAGCATGAGCTGTATAAATGTGTGGTGGTTTCAACTTCTGACTCTTAAAGATTGTGTGTAGTGGAGACATTCTGATGGATTCCTAATAAATAGTACAGTTAAAGTGGTAATGTTTAGAGTACAGGAAAGTGAGAAAAAACCCTCTGAGAAAGTATTGAAAGTTAAATTGTCAATTCAATCTGAGATTTTAGTCACAAACTAATGAAGAGCAGGTTTTATAATAGAGAGCCACAGTTCATCTGAGATTCCATGGGGGCAAAAAAAAGGGGAATTATTCTCTGCTTTCTTCAGCGCTTCACATGTCCTGTGAAGCTGCCGTGGTTGAGTGTGCAGTACTGACTTCAGTCTTTCCTAGCAAATGATTCCACGGAAATTCCCTCTGCTACCTATTCAGTGACTCCTCCTCCCAAGTAAGTTGGCACCAACAAAAGGAAAGCTCATACAGTTATCTTAAGTGTTCATTATATGTAGTTCTTAGTTAACCATTCATAATAATCTTATGGAAAGAAAAACATTAAACATTAAAAAATGTTTCCCACACATACCAGGTCTGTATACAGTTAGATGTCTTACACAGTTCAAGTTTTAGTAAAAATTTTTGTACATGCTGACATTAAATTACTATTGTAAAGTGTAAAATAATCCATACAATGTTTTTTTTAAATCTCAGTGACCAAAGTGCACTTAAATTGAGAATAATTAGAGTAGGTAAAATAATAATGTTTAGTTAACATTAACTAAACCCTCATCTTTTTTCTAAGTATTTATAGCACCTTCTAAGAGAGGCACTGTTTTAAACAGGTACAGAACAACAACAACAAAACCAATACTGCTGGAGTTCAAACAAATCCCACACCACACATATTACTGCTTTTTTTTTTTTAACTATAAAAATATCAATGCATTTGAATTCCAATCAGTTCAACATAAATTACCAAAAATTTTTCTTAAGTTTAGAACAGTGCTGAGTTCAGAGATAAAATAGGTTTTATATTGAAAAAAGGAACCAGAGTGAAAATGAAACTAAAGCTGAAAAGAAAAGCTCACATGTTCATACTTATTTTGAATACTACATACAATTTAGCTATTTCATTATTAGGAGTAAGCCTACAAAAACAAGTATTAAGTTAAAAAGTATAAACATCAGCAACCTATACTTTTTTGTGTTGTATAAGAACAGAAACCATGTAGCATGAGACTTACAATCTAGACAAGTTCATACAATACTCTAAACTGTCCCTGTACTTTTTTACCATAGATCTGTTTTGGTTACATGGAGGTATATCTTTCTCACTGTTACAAGTCCTACACATGAATAAGACATTGCAGGATTTCTTAACTGAAAGCCCATTATGACCAGGTAGTTGTGATACACTCAATTGACAATGGTTCCCCTGCTCCCACCCCAAGGTCAACGTACACAGTTAAGGAATAGCTTATCAAAAGTGTTCCAATTTCCACATTATTTCAGAACTTCAATAGAAGAATGGCTCTGCACATTAACTTTACTAAGAGTATACAAACATATTTAAAAAGTCCCCCAAAGATGAATTTATAAAATCATATTTCTCAATGTAAAGTGCTAAGAGATAAGGAAGGAGAGTTGGGATGTCTTGAGCTATTTGTCTTGAGATCCCCACTGGCAGCTGTTAGAGTTTAGCATTCTGACTTTTTCTTTGGTCCAGGGAGATTATTCAAGGTGTCTAGATGCTCACTTGGGCCATCTGGTGTCTCACCTGTGACAGCTAGAAGGATGATTTTCAGCCATTTCTGTTTCAGTTCCTCATTGTCTGCAGCAAAGCTGTGCACAGACTTGGACTGGGTCAGTTTGAAACTGTGTGGTAGATCTGCACTCTTTGGCATGTCGTCCACAATGTAGCCCAGGAGCGGTATGGTAGCCTGGGCTCTGACGTCCTAAATAATGGACATTGTACATATAAGACATATTACTGCAAAACTCTCTTCTGACTACTGTTCCCCAGATCCTCATTCTATGAACTCTCTTTGAACAAAGAGTTTGTGTCTATGGGGTCAATGATCAATTGCGACAGAATAAAAGAAATAAAGTAGAGCTGATGCCAGTGATGGAGGAAGCACTGCTGTACAGCCTGCTCCTGGGGGAGCTCACTCGGAGCCTTCTCCCCTTAGAGAAGAGAGGGGATGGAGATGACCAACAGCCTCTTAATGGTTAAATCAGCAGGCATTACTAAGAATTAACAATGATACTATCTTTAATGATCTATTCAAGTTACTCACGAATAGGAAAAACAGAAAAGTAGAATAAAATGTATACCCTAGCATTTTTAGGGGTTTTCTAAAAACAAAACAAACAAGCAAAAATATTAGTTCTTGATGTAGGATGAAGCTAAAATCTGGAAAATTTAATTCTTTATGTTTTTAAAGTGAATGAATGTATACTTAGTTTACATGTTATTCACTTTCAAAGCAAAGCAATCTATATACCAGGTTCTGGCTTGTGCTGGAAGATAAACTGGCATTAGAGTTTACTCCAACTTGATATTGAGTAATATTAACCCAAGATTTATGTAAACTCCCTCTTCCATCCACACTACTTTGTCTCCATCACAGTCAACAAATAAAACCACCACAAACGTCTCCGGGCTTCCTAATTATCTCTGCAAATGACTCGTCGCCTTTCTTTATTTCCCTGTTCATTTCCTGCTTACTCAAGCCTGTGTTCCTTGCTCAATTTACCTTTTCTTATGCTTACTAAATAAGAACAAGGATGAAAAGGGACTAATGACTTATCAAGTGAATAATAGACAACTATAAAAAGAACTACCAGTTTAAATCAGCAAAATTGATTCTATTTTTCATTATTCTAAAATTGATGGAACACAGTGATACTGCCTGAGCTCTTTTGTGTCCACATGCCTCCCTGTGTCCTCAAACATGTGTGGCTTACTTACCTGAGGAGCACCATACATGTACAGCACAAGGGGGTCTTGCTTTGGGATCACACACCATATTTTTTGCCATGGTTTTGACTTCTCCATGTACTGGAGAAAACTGCACACCTCACTATTTCCTGATACTTCTGCTGATTCAATCTAGAAAATACAGTGGAGAGAAAGAATAAATGTAATAAACCAGGGAAATATTTATAAAGTACAGTGTATTTACATAACATGTCTCGAGTTATCCTCTAAAAGGATATTATTTGCATTGATTAGTTTTTCTCTATCATAAGATGAAAACCTACTGAAGTCATCTTTAACTCTTTATATTACTAGATTCTGTGCTTAAATAGTCAATGTTTATTGACCATTTGCTATTCACTTTTTTTTTGTTTTGCTTGAGCTATGTATTATTCACACTAACACTGAGAAGTTGTGTTTTCATTGCTTTTTTGAAGTTCTGGAATTTTTTTATTTTAAAAATTTTATTCATTTTACATATCAACCACAGTTCCCCCTCCCTCCCTTCCTCCATCCTCTCATGGGGAGTCAATGAAGCCTGGCATATTGAGTTGAGGCAGAACCAAGTCCCTCCCCCTGCATCAAGGATGAGCAATGGACTCTAGAAAGCCAGTTCATGTACCAGGGATAAATCCTGCTCCCACTGCCAGGGATCCCACAAACAGATCAAGCCACTCAATTGTCACCCACGTCTACAGGATTCAGTCCTATGCAGTCTCCCTAAGCTCAGTGTTTTTAATCAGATTCCCCAAGAATACGAATTTAGAACTTGGCGTGCTAGAATTTGAGCTCAGTCATCCTGAATCAGTGCTCCAATAAGGCAAGAATATAAAGTAAAAAAGGCAAGCTGTGACCAACACCCTTTGTAGTCACAGGATTTTAATTAGAAACACCTCACTGGAGCAACTTTTGAAAAGCCACTTGCCTTGCTTACTAATATGTCAAACACTAGGTAAACGGGAGACAGAAATACTTAACTAAAATGCTTTACTAGAACTAAACTGTTTTGCTTCTATTCCTATGTAAAAACTTAGGGTAATGTTACTCAGTTTTGTCCACAGGACACAAAGATGTAAGAGAGAAGGGTGTGTGTATGCACAGGTAAATGTACTGTGGGGGTCTAACTTGTGCCAGCTAATATGTGCCCTGAATAGCAGTCAGCAAACTCCACTATAAAAGGTCAGAGTCCAAAACAAGGCCATAGCATAGGCACTTACACAAAGAAAGCTATACTCATAAAATTAAAAATACTTTTTCAGGTGTAGCCTCTTATATAGTATGGGGTTAGCAATAAAAATGTAAGTGTTGGGGAAATGTAACATTTTCTTTCCAGGCTCCTCAAACAACACACAACCAGGCATGGTGCTGTGTGCCTATATCTAGCACTTCGCAGGTAGAGGTTGAAAGGAGTAGAGGTTCAAGGTCACTCTTGGCTAAAGGCAAGGCCAGCTTTGGCTTTGTGAGACACTGTCTCAAAATAACAGCAACAAAAAACAACAAAGAAAAAATTTAAAGCCATTTGACTTTTTGATGGTATTTGTGGTGGTTTATCTTGACTGCCAACCTAAACAGACTAGAGCACAGGTCTCTGGGCAGGAATTTCCAGGAATGACTAAACTGAGAAGACACTTCTCCCATGGGAAGCAGCTCAGATAAGACAAGGCCAGAGGGAAGGAGCTGCTTGGCTGCCTTCCCTTCTTGATGGTGCTGCAGATGTCACTTTCTGCTGACTCTAGAATCTAGCTTCTTTGCTTCTAACATGAGCTGAGATCAGCAACTTTCCAGAACCATCCAGGCTTTTATGCTAGCCTGGGACTGTTGAGGTAGTGAACTGAATGCTATCAGGTTCTCTCAGTGTCTTCCATATACGGATGGCCCTTTTTGGACTACCCAACCTGTACTGTGTCATACATATTCATTTCACCCACTCTGTTCCTCTAGAGCAGTGGTTCTCAACCTGTAGACTGTGAACTCCTTGGTGATGAATAACTCTTTTACAGGGGTTGCCCAAGACTACCAGAAGACACAGATATTTGCAATATGATTCATAACAGTAGCAACATCACAGTTATGGAGTAGCAACAAAAATAACTTTATTGTTGGGGGGGGGTCACCACAACATGAGGAACTGTATTAAAGGGTTGCAGCATTAGGAAGGCCAAGAACCCTGCATTAGGGAACCCTGACCGAGAGTTCATAATCATTGATTTTCATGGATAATTGATGATTGGAAATAATCAAGGTGTGCCCGAGGTAGTTTAAGAAATACCAACCAAATGACAATCTGTAAGTCAGCTCCAGTCCACCACTGGTTTTTGTATATCTCATAAGCTAGTAATTTAACAGCTGGATGTTTATAACCAAAGTGATGATAGGAAACACTGAGTAAGATACCATCAACCCTCAAAAAGGTTAGTTCTTAGTAACAGATCCAGATCACAAAAATTCATATTTTGTAATTTTTTCTTCCTAAAACAAACAAACAAAACTGAACAATGGTGCAGCAATTTGAAAGGACAGAAAGAAGCTTACAGGGTTGGGGAGGTAGCTTAGCAGGTGAGGCTTGCCCTGAAAATGTGAGGACAGGAGTTCTAGACCCAGACATGGTGACCTGCTGATAATTCAAGTCATATCATACTGTGAGCTCTGGGTTTGTTTGAGCCTGCGTAAGTAAGGTGAGAGAGCAACTGAGCATAATTTCTGATGTCACCAGGGGCATACATATATGCACAAATCCACACCTCAAAAATGGGTGTCCACACACATGCAAGAACATGCAGACACACAAACACTATAGAAACATACAAAAGTAGAAAAAGAATTTACAAGTACACCGAGTTAAATACCTTAAATTTTGTCTATAAAATTTGTTTTCTCCCTTAAAATACCTCTGTAAATCCTGTTTTGTTCACAGAAAGCCTGACTACTGTTTGAGAATATACAGTTTAGTAGTTGGCATAGGGTAAGGGCTCATACATGTTGCATGCTCATCTTTTACTTCCAGACACTACACATTTTGTTTGATTACATGAACCAAACTAGCTGATCATTTCTCCCCGAGACAAGGTTTCCTAAAAAGCTAAGTATTTTTTTTAACTTTAATAGAAGCAACCTAAACTTTTTATTTAAAAAGAAAAAACAGTATCAGACTCACTGTACTTTGTCACACTAGTCAGTTATTTCTATTAAAGCCCTGAGGTTGTGGTCCTGGGATTCAATGAATAATGTCTTCCCATTCTTCTTGCCTATGAAAACTTCATCTTTATGTAATACAAGTAGTACCTATGTCCTAAGAGAATTTAGAATTATAATTTTAGCTTGTGGGCTTATAATTTAACCTCAAATGGACATTGAAGTGTAAGATCCTTTCACAGCTAACAAACGACTTGAATATTTTCTTGTAAATGCTCAGTACACAATTACTGATTTTTCAACATTATTAATAAACTTAAGTATATTTATGAATTTGGATGCAAGAATGTTAATCCTACTGCTAAGTGATTTTGGCCTTACTACCACAAGGGCCTCATTATACAAATTACCCTTATTTTGCCAACACATCTTTCAATGTAAATCCATTTCAGCACAACTACTTTAGTCTGAATTAATTCTGAAATATGAGTCAAACTTCCTGGAGATGGGCTTTGACAGTGATGCAGTCATGCAACTGCTGCCCCCGACTATTACATCACCACAAAGAACTGGTTATTTAACACAGCAAGCTGAAGCTGAAATAGTATTTTAGGTAATAAAACAGTATTTACCCAAATTTGAAAATCTTCATGCAGTTTTTTCAACATTAACATATTAAAAACTGAAAGCTTTCCACAAAGATAAAATGTACTCATCTGTGCATCTCATTTTCTATAATCAGGCAGGAGTCCAAGGCCAACAAAGCCAAGTAAAAGCATGCTCACTGTTAACTTGGGTGCTAACCAAAGAGGATAAGGAACACATTGTCTGTGCCCCTTATGGCCAGGACAGTGCCATCCAAAACAATGAAGAAGTGACTAAATTACCTCCAAAATCCCCTTTCTTTTCTTCTCTTCACTGTCTGTGAATCCACTTATTATTTGGTAACAGTCTTTACAGACTTTGTTCAACCTTCCGCCATCATACTCAAGTTGTGCTTTGTAGTCAGAACACTTCCAACAGACAACCTTTAATTTTAGAAAGGATGTTCAAAATGAATAATTACACTTAAGACAATTAGATTTAGGAAATATTTATATATTCATGGAAAAGTCAAACATAAAAGTTATATTTTCATTAGCCTAAGAAAATTCCAAAAGATGTTAAATATATTAAAGTATTTTAATAATTTTGTGATGGGATCTGAACATCACTTTGACTTCTAAAGGTCCCTTGCACTGGATAACTATCCATCCAACACTTCTCACATGAAACAGCACAGCCATCTAATAGCATTCAGGACATTTCCAATGACTATTCACCTACCTTCACAGATGCACTATATTGTGTCCTTCAATCTGCTTTTTAAGTGCAAGTTATTAGCATTCACATTTGGACTCTCATAGCCTGGCTGGCCCTCACCACATTTTCAGGCTCCATCCTAACATTTTACAAGAGTTTACTTTCCAAATAGTATCTAGAAGGCTCTCTTTCCATATATGAGGTTGATATGTTCCTCTTATATTTAAAAATTCTTCAGTTTAAAACCATGAATGATGATGCATGCTTTAAGTGCCAGCACACTAGAGGTAGAGGCAGGAGGATCTCTGTGAATTCAAAGCCAACCTGGTGTACATAGAGTAGCATTCTAAGTCAGTGAGGGCTAGACAGTAGATCTTGTCTAAAAAAAATTTTTAAAAAAACTTCAGTTTTTCCTTTGTTTCTGGTCAAAGAAAAATTATTAGTTATAGTCTATGGCATTCTGTGTGGTTGGCCTCTCTTCAATGACACTGGCTTCTTACATCCTCAGAGCACTATGCTCCCTTCCTCTTCCATCTCCTGCAGTCTTTTAAGTCTCAATTTCCCTTCTTCCTTCTGGAAGAAGATTCCTTCAGTGCAGAGCCCTACTCTTGTCACTGCCACTAGAGTGCCCTTTTGTTCACAGCACTGACTAGTTTTTAACTTAAGACTCGTATGAATATGTGTTCATTTCTTATACAACTGTACAGGAAGTTGTCATGGGAGACTGCTCACCACACACAATAGTAAAAGAATGTCAATGAGAAGATGACAATAATGCAAATGCACGTGAGTGAACACTGCACTGCAAATGATTTTCATTGTTATTCTTGCTTAGGAAGTTACATTTCCCTCACACTTATAGATAAAGTCTATTTTAAAAATTGCATGAACTTAACAAGTAAAAAATCTATGTAGATTCATGGCAGTTGAAATACACCCCTGAAATGGTCAAGGACTAATGGCGTGGCTCAGTGGTAGAATGCAGACTTTGTGTTCAAATCCTACCCAAACTTGATACCACAGTTTTCTAATAATTATAACAAATTTGCTTTGGAGGTTTAGGGTTAGACATACATGTATCTGTAAACTCAACTCAACTACTTTATATTCTTATCAGCGTATTTGATAATCTATATGCAAGCTTTTTAAATTTGTTAACCAAAGTTCAAGTATGCCAATATCAGAAATCATTTTAAACTCAGAGATCAATTGAAATAGTTTATTCTGAGATATATATTTGTTACTAATTTAACTTTGGTTACACTGCCTCAATATGTTTAATCTAAGTGTCAGGAAAAGAGATGTAAGAAATTTTAAGTATAAAGGAGAATAAGCTAAGAGTTATCTATCTAAATTACTATGTTTAACATACAAATAACAGGACATAACATGTTTTACTTAACATGTTATGCAATGCTCAACTTGGTTCATAAGGTCCCCTTCAAAGTTACTTATCTCCCCCACCTTGGTAATATCATTTTACACTTTTTCTTTCCCTTTTCCAAATGAAACTCAGTGCAGTGGTTGGCCAATCATGCTCTAATGTAACTTTATATAATTACATACATATACATATTTGTTTTTATATGTTAGCAATATATTAAGTTACAATCAGAAATACCTTTTGGATAAAATGTTTTACTTAGAAAAAAGTTAAGTTTATACTGCTACTACTGATAGATGACATAAAAACCATAGATGGAATGAATGTCCTTCCTAAGCATGCTCTTGCCTCTGTAAGACAGCTAGTTCTCTGGGAAGCTTTTTGCCATATTAGAACTAAATTATGGACACAAAGCAAATATAATTTTAATGGCTCAGTTTTTAAAATTAAAAATGGCTCTCTAAGGTACAAAGAATGAAACAGAACTATTCAATAAATAAACATATCAAAGGGAAAATAGTGAGTTGAAACTCTAATGTTATGTGAATGGTGAAACCCCACATTTAACAGGTAGAGAAAGTCCTTGAAGCCTGACTGACATAAGAGAGGGGAAACTAAGACTTAATCATCATACAGAATGTGTGAAAGAAGTTCCAACCAAACGCTGGCCTGCCATCATAGGAGAGCTACACCAAAGCAAAACAAACAAACAAAAAACCCCGTCAAAAATCCACTAGAAAGCACAATTAAAAAGCACAAGGTTTCATCCATTAAAAGTCCCTTCAGGTGCTGGCATTACTGAATGCATATTCTAAAACAAGAAATGTTTGAACAAAGTGAACTGTTAAGTAACAAAAGCTATCAAAGGGTATTTGGCAGATTTAGAAGAAAAAAAACAATTTAGAAATAAAAACTATTCAAAGAATAAATGAAAGCAAACAAGCTATGACTAAGGAGAATGAACAAAGGAGCAAAGCAGTGAGACACACCTTTTGTTTTTAGTATCTCGCCAGATCTTCATGTTGAGAGCTCTCCTTGAATACTCCTTATCTTTCTCATTATTTAAACCATTTCCCCTATACTTCACACAGGACACTTATTTTCGCTCTTGATGATCTGGTCTCCAGTTATCATTCTAGCCCCAGCTCTTGCCAGCCCCGCTTCTAGTGTTTACTCCAATGACATGTAATTCATGTCCAGTAATCATTTTGCCACACTTAGTATGCTGTCTGGCAGGTGGCCATACCACCAAGGGAAGTAGCTGGTACCACAGCACTAGGTTTGCTTACCCATTCTCATGTCAGAGACAAACAGAACTTATTCCATTCTGCCCAAGAGTCTCTGTTGATTATCTTAGCTTCACCCCTGTGAATACTGCTCTGTTCGACATATCCTAATAGGTCTCCTGCTTTCTCTCTGCTTCTTAAAGTTCTTCTTCTAGGCCCCCTGGAACTGTCATTCTAGGATCAAACTCTTCTTTACTTTCATGTAGAGGGTGATTCACTGCTAGCTCATCAATCACTTCTGAGGACTCCAGTGCTGAGAGCTGGATTTTTCAATCTTTGTCTCTTTTCTTGTTTTCAAAAGCCCATAACACTTTTGAGGCTTGCCAGTGGCTCTACCCACATCTCATACTCATGATTTATCTAACTCAGTCCTTCCTGAATTTAGAGCTAATGTGTTCTAACTTATAGGAAAGGGCTGGTTTGTAGAAAAGAAACTGAGATGAAATTATCCTTCCAAAGAGCTTAATTAGAACAGTTATAACAGCATGGCCATAGGCAGCCATGACAGACTCTGAAGTGGGAGAGCAGTGGGGGAGTTATAACACCATGTATAGCACAATGGGGGACAGCCTCCAATCCCAAATAACGAAAGAGTGTGTCTTGCTCTTACAGGTTTTCATCTTGGGTGATAGGATTAAGAATGGGTGAACAAGGGGAGAGGGTGTGTAAGTTCCATGCCATGTGATTTCATCCACATGCCAGAAGTTACAATACACTGATGAAAGTAAATTTAGAATTCAACACTGCCTTGCAGCTCCTAGGGAAAGGACTCAACTCCTGAGAATTGCAAGGTCATAGTTGCTCTCAGTAGTGTGGGGAGACAGAGTGTATGTGTATGTGTGTGTGTGGGGGTCTGTGATCTAACATGATAGAACATATTATTTCACTCCAGTGCCTGGTGTTTTTACATTCATGTGATACCTTATTGACTCAGGCTTTTTAGGTGTTTGCTGCTAGTGCCATTCTCAGGCAGTCTAATCCAGTCTTTAGTTCTTAGCTCTTCCTCTCACTCAACAATATGAATCACGAGACTTGAGTGCCAACTTCAAGCCCTTGTCTTCACTCGCCAACATGTCTCATATTTCTAACTTGCTCATAGCTGTCCATTTTCAGGCAGCTTTGAAGAACAGAGATCTTACTTTCTATGCTCTAGCTCTCCTGTTTTCAACATTTAGTCCCAACTTCCCTTATTTACCTAGGGCAGACACCTACAATTCTCCCTTGCTTTTTTCATTACACTTACTCTTCATGTTCTCTGTCTTCTCTTACCTGCATTACTAGATTCTGATATCTATCTATCTATCTATCTATCTATCTATCTATCTATCTATCTATCTATCTATCTATCTATCCAGCCAAACAAACAAACAAAAACCCAGATGTTTGGATTTCTAAATAGAAACTTTCAAAGGGTAATGGGTCCACAGGTCACTAGAAGGTTCACTTTCTCTGTTAAACTATTTGATACTTCATCTTCTTTCTTGACTCTCACACAGAAAACCTTGTCTCCTTTACTTTTAGCTAATCATTCTGTTCAATTCAATAAAAATATAACACGGACCTCAAACAGCCCCATTTCCCACTATTATCATATTCAAATAGTAAAACCCCACTCAGTTTGCATGTCTATACTTAGCAACCTGTCTTTCTGGCTTCTGTTAAAAGAGAGGGCTTTGCCCTACCCAGTAAAAGCTATAACTTTGACTTGTACTGTGGTTTTTATCTCTTGCCTTTTCAACCACATCCATTTCTTTGTTTATTATTGCCCTAAGTACATCTGTATCACATTGTTTTGTAAATTGTACAGGCTTTCCTAGCAACTTCAGGGTTGTGTTACTGCAGGGATGTAGATACAGTTCCTTGTGTGCAAAACATCTCTTGCTTCCCACTCTTGAATGAAGACATTCTCCCCATTTAGTCATCTAAGCAAATATCAGTCTCTCAGGGGCCTTCTTTTGTCTAATTAGATATGGTCAGAATTTGCTTTTTTATTCCACTCATACTAATTTGAGTTCTTATCTATTTCCTTCTTCATAATGTAATCTCCATGAAGCCAGGAATTTTTGTTTACCTTTTTTTTTTTTTTTTCCTGAGATGGGGTTTCTCTGTGGTTTTGGAGTCTGTCCTGCAACTAGCTCTGTAGACCAGGCTGGTCTCAAACTCACAGAGATCCACCTGCCTCTGCCTCCCGAGGCATGTTCCATCAGACAGTACAGTACTTTGCACATACCTGGTTCCAACACAGGCTTACTAAATGAGTGTTAATGGTTTATTTGTTTCCAGGCTGATGATTTTATTTCACCTGTATAGTTACCAGCAACTGTAACAACCAGGAACCATACTCACATGTCCACATGCCCGGCAGTGATGCCGCCTTCTTGTGAGCGCATTGAAGGGCTCTTTGCACTTCATGCACATCGTCACTTCGTTATCACGTATCCATCTTGGGGCTCTTTTTCCTAGCTCAGCAGTCTAAATGGGAAAGACAGGTTGCCTTTTAAATAGCCTGTTAACAATGTTGTTCAAGATCTGATAAAGGAAGTGGAACTTTCAAAGCACTGCAAGTCACTTACCACTGTATCCACCTAAGAGAGAATGGCATTATTTCTAAATCACCGATTCTGGTATTGCAAGGTAGAAGGTTTGTTAATAGAATGATTAGATAGTGCTTCAGAGAACACAGAGATAGAGGACTTTAAGTTAAGAACTTACAGACACGTCTAGGTGGATATCATTATCCTTTGCAATTGCAGTTCTGAAGGTTTCATGCCTTTGATGAAAAGCATCAATACTCTCTTGAAGGGCCTAAAATATAAATTAAATTAAAAACATATGACAATATCACATACACACATATATAACTGTAAAGAGAATCATCTCTTAATTTAAATGAACTTGCTCTTAAATATATATTTAAAAAACCTAAATATGTGTATATTTCTTTTTAAAAATTTGTTCTATGAGTGTTTTTCCTGATGTATTTTGTACCACAAGTATGCCTAGTATTCACAGAGGTGAGAAGAGGGCATTGAATCTTTGGAACTGGAGTTAGGGATGGTTGTGAGCCACCATGTAAGTCCTGGGAACTAAATCCGGTTTCTGCAAGAGTAACAAGTGCTCTTAACCACTGAGCCATCTCTCCAGGTTCAAGTGTATACATTTCTTATGCACAGAGGTCCAAAAAATAAAAATGAAAGAGTTACCTTGATCCATTCTTCTTTGTCATGTTCAGAACTAAAAGAAAAGCAAAGCAAAAATGAGTGAAGAGAACAGTAAGAATTACATCTTGTGAATGAAGGTAAGATTTACTGTTACTCTGGATTCCTAGAAAACACAGGAGTGTTTGGAAATAAAGAGACTCTAGTGCCTCTTAATACAGGATCAGACTGCTGTCTACTTTCGTACCCATTCATTTTGATAGAAAACCATAACATTAACAACCACTGTCTAGTTGTACCCACATGATTCTGTATGCTTGACATACTGGATATTCAAAGATAATTACCTCTACCTCAGCTCAGACCAAACGGGTGATCCTCTAACTGTTCCTGACTTCGACTCCAATGCTCCTCAGATTCCCTCAGACTGCTATGCTCTCCTCATTATGGCTAGAGACTAATCCTTAGACTGACTACTGAAGGCTCTGCTCCTGTCTTTTATAACTCTCTAATACTGGGATTAAAGGCATGAGCTCTGTTACTTCTTTAGATTGATTCAATCTAGTGTAGCCCTGGGTTGCCTTGAACTCAGAGAGATCCATCAGCCTTTGTCTCCCAAGTCCTGGGATTTAAGGTGTGTGCCACCATTGCTTGATCTCTGTAGCTTAAGCATTCAAAAGTAGAGGATACAGATCAAATAAGCAAAACATATGAAACATTTTAGAAAGCATAGGAAAAGAATATGCATGAAACAGGATACACTATCAAAAGACCAAGTCTTTGAATTATAGGCACAGACGAGGAAAGGTAATCCAAAATCAAGGGCATAGACCAGATCTTTAAAAAGAACATAGATGAAAATGTTCCTTAAATACGAAAAGTATACTTATACAAGTACAAGAAACACACGGAACCATAACTAGACAATACAAGAAAAGAAACTCCCCACAATGTACCATATTTAAAACACCAAATAAACAGAATGGAAAAAAAAAAAAAAAAAAAAAAAAAAAAGAAAGCTTCAAGAGAAAAACACACAACTCACATATAAAGGAAACACCATCAGAATAACAGCTGATTTCCCAGTGGAAACCCCCGAAGACCAGAAAAGCCTGAAAGCAACATTACAGTAGGCACCAAAATAATTCAGATAAGGAAACGGTTTATAAACATGAATTCCATTACGTTAGGAAATATGAAGGAAATGAATGCGTTTCTTGATTCATCAAATACCAAAGTTAAGCCAAGGAGAAATAAAAAACTAAACAAACCCATAACAAAATAAGAAATTGAAACATTAATATAATAATGCTAATAATATAATGTTGATGATGGTAATTGTAATAACCGCCTTCCAACTAAAACCAAAGCCCAGGCCCAGATAGATTTACAGCAGTATTCTATGAGATTTTCAGAGAACTACAAGTAATGTATGTATGTATGTATATATATGAACTTGAAGGATCACTTTGAAACTTCCAGAATTACTCTAAAAACAAAAACAAAAGAAAGTAAAAAACCAAATAAAGGCAAATCAAAAAACCAAAACTACAGATCAATAATACTAATAAACATAGATGCAAATAAACTCAATATAGGCATATGACAAGATGAACATCCACCATAATCAGGTTCAATATACACAAGTCAAAATGTAATGAATAGGTGAAAATCACATGATCATCTCAGAGGCAGAAAAAGCATTTGAGAAAACCCAGGGGAAAAAAAATCCCAGTAAAAGTAGACTGAGTAGGACTGAATTGAGGGAACCCCCCTCAATATAATAAAGACTACATATGACAAATCCACAGCCAATATTATCCTAACTGGAGAAAAACTTGAAGAAATCCCATTAAATTCTGGAATGAGATAGGACTGTCCACTACCACAGGTCTTTTCAATGTGTTACTGGAAGGACTAGCTGGAACAAAAGACAAGAGATGAAAATCTAAGAGATACAAATAGAAAAAGAAGTCAATTTCCCCCTATTTTCAGATGTACAGCATTATGCATAAGAGATCCCAAAAATTCCACCAGAAGTCTATCAATGACCTCAAAAAAGTGGCAGGACACAAAATTAAGTTATAAGAATCACTAGCCTTGCTACATACCAACCACAAACTATAACAAACATATTGAGAAAGATATCACACTCCCCCCCATTCATAATAGCATTGAATTAACAACAAATGCAAAAAAAATCAACCAAACAAAAAATAAGCAACCCACCAAACTATGAATAAGGAGCGAGAAAAATCTTTACAATGAAAACTTTAAAGCTCTCAGAAAAGTGACTGAGGAACACACTGGAAGATGTAAAGTCTTATGTTCATGGATTGTAGAAGCAATATTGTGAAATGACCATCTCACCAAAAGCAATTTACAGATTCAATGCAACCCCAATAAAAATACCTACAATATTCTTCACAGAAATAGAAACTAAATCCTTACATTAATATGAAAGCACAAAAGACTTGTTTCCAAGTCAATCATGAGTAAAATGAACAATGCTGGAGGAGTCACTATTCCAGAGTTCTAGATAAATTACAGAACTATAGCAATAAAACCACCATGGTACTGGTATAAAAACAGACATACAGATCAATATAACACAAGAGACATTCCAAATGAATGTAAATAATTACAGCTATCTCATGCTTGTTAAAGATGCCAAAAAATACATATTTAAGAAGAGAAGCATCTACAACAAATAGTACTGGGAAAATTGGATGTCCACATGCAGAAGAATGAAATCAGAACTGTATCAATCACCTTTAAATGGATCAGAAACCTAAATGTTAACTCTGAAACACTAAAACTTCAAGAAGAAAACATAGGCAGTGCCCTATAATATGTAAGAATATGCAGTGGTTCTAACCTATAGGTTACAACCCGTTTAGGGGTTGCATACTAGATATCCTGCATATCAGATATTTACATTACAATTCATAACAGTAGCAAAATTACAGCTATGAAGCAGCAACAAAATAATTTTATGGCCGGGGGTTACATAACATGAGGAATTGTATTCAAGGGTTGCAAAACTAGGAAGCTGAGAACTTTTGAGGTACAGGAAAGGACTGTTGGTATAGGTCTCCATCTGCTCAGGATTTAAGGCCAACAGTTGATAAATAAGATCTCATTAAACTAAAATGCTTCTTCACTGCTAAGAAAACAACTGTATGAAGAGAAAGTCAAGAGAGTAGGAGAGAATTTCTGCTAAGTGTACATCTAAGTTAATATTTAAAATATTCCAAGAATTTAAAAAAAGAATAAGAAAACAAATAACCCAATTAAAAAATGGGTATGGATCTGAATATAATTCTTGAAAGAAAAGACAAAATAGGCTAATAAATGTCTTAAAAAGTGTTGAATATCTTTAGCAATTAGGGGAATGCAAATTAAAACAAATGCAATTTCATCTTACCCTAGTTGCAATGGAAAAAAATAAAAAAAAAAAACAACTGACAACAAATACTTTCGAGGATGCAGGGAAAGGAGAATTCTCATCCACTGCTGATGTGAATGCAAACTGGTTCATCCACTCTGGAAATTAGTTTGAAGACTTCTCAGAAGGCTAAACGTAGATATACCATAAGGCCTGGCCATGCCACTCCTTGGCATTGTTCAAAAGACTCTATTCTATACCACAGATAGTTACTGAGTCATGTTCACTGCTGTTGTTTTCACAATAGCTAGAAAATGGAAACCCTAAATGTTCTCCACTGATGAATGGATAACAAAAATGTGGTACATATACAAATGAAAAACCTGCAGGTAAATAGATGGAGTTAGAAACTAGGAACTCAGACCCAGAAAGACCAACATCACATATCCTCTTGTTTATGGAACCTCGTTCTGGATCATCAGATGTGAGTATATAATCTGATGTATCTACAGAAACCAGGAAAATTAAAAGGGATGATGGGGTGGGAGTAATGGGACACAGATATATAAAGGGGAAGTGGAAAAAATAGGAAGGAGCTTTAACTGGTGAGTGGGGAAGAGAAGGTAATACAGAGAAAGATGGAAAGAAGAGGAATAAATAACATCAAGTATGTTTGAAAGGACCCGAGGTAACATTATTTTATAATTTTACAAAAACATTTATGTGTATGTATATATGTATATGTATGTATATTCATATACACATAGATCTGAATTATACAAGGGGGTTAATCTTACCAAGAGCTACACACTATCTAATGAAAACCCAATGCAAGGCATTGAAATTTTTCTGTTAACTTGTTGCTTGGAGGAATACAAGGGTCTCCAAAACAACATGAGCCACTCTTATTGGCTTTGGTCGTCTTCTAGAACTGGAAAGTACTAATGCTGAAGATACCATATTTTGAACACAGGACTTTGTAGGAACTGAGATAGATGGGACCTGGAAACTTCTCTATGAAGACTAGCTCTCATAGTATCTGAAGGTGCTATGCCAAGCTGCCAAAAGTGGGGAATTTCAGCATGGAGTAAAATAATGGACTGAAGCTATGGGAGGTAGCATAGGGAGCAGTCTCTGTGGTGATTATTGTTTATGATCTAATAAAGCACTGGGGATCAATGCAATGCTAGCCATAGCCACAGAGTCAGACAGTGGTGATACATACCTTTACATCACCAGCTACACCAGTTAGCCACAGAAGCTGGGCCGTGGTGACACACACCTTTAATCCCAGGACTCAGGAGACAGAATGAGTTCAAGGCCACCCTGGGCTACATGAGAGTGAATCAGTCTAAAAAACAAACAGCTCATACAAAGGAGATCTTAGAACTTGGGGTCCCATGCCTTTAATCCCAGCTCTAGAAAGGCATATAAGATTGGAGTGAGGTATTCAGTATTCAGTGTCAGAGATTTATTCTCTAGCCACGCTGAGGACAGGGCAGCCCTTTCAGCCTGAGGTAGAGGTTAAGAGCTAGTGGCCATCTGCTTTGCTTTTCTGATCTTCATCTTGAACCCCAATATGTGTCTCTTGGTTTTCATTATTCATATTACATCTTTTCCTACAGGTCTCAAGACTGAACTGCAGCAGCCTAAAGTGCTCTGCTGCTCTGCAGTCACCTGACTGATGTCTACTATATACATACCTCTGTCCTAAGCAATACAGGGATCAGTGAAAAACAGGTTGTGTGTCTCAATGAACCCCAATATCTACTTAGAGCTAGCTAGTCACATTTCCAGAGGTTTGGGACAAACAACAAGGACAAACCCTTTGGGTCACTTATGGCTCCTGATATTTTTAGCTGTGGTGTGAGTGGCTCTCTTACCTGGCCTGCAGCTCCAGAGTTCGTTCTTTCCCAGACACCTGGAAAGTGTGTGGATATTCTTCATTGTGAGTCTCCACAATTTTCATACCATCAATGCCAACTCTGGTTCGAACAGTGAATTTTGAGCCCACCAAGCTGAATCTGGGCACACAATATAGCAACATGTTGTTGAACTACAAAGAGACAGAATACAAATTAATAAACAGGAAGATAAAGAAAGTAAAAGTCTGACTAATGTAACTCTGGACAGAAATACCACTGAATTTATTATTAGACTATATGACTTTTCTCTCTTTCTCTCCATTGTCTTGCTATGTAACCAGGATAGGTCTTGAATTTCCAATCTTGTCTTAGACTCCAAGTGCTGGGGATATAGGCATATATTACCACACTTAGATGTTTTCTTAGAATTCAATTAAATATTCATTGAACAAATACATAATAAATGACTAAAGAGTGAATTATGAGACAACTTCAAATATTTGCAGGTCACACACACACACACACACACACACACACACACACACACACACACACACACACAGAGCAACCTGTTAGAAAAGATGTGCCTACTATGCAATATGGGCATGACTGATATGGGAGTAACCAAATGCTTTCTGATTAGATTTGAATTCTATAAGGAAAATGTGTCAAACGACAACAACAACAACAAAAACAACCCATGTGGTACTAACTACTGTTGTGTTATTAAATGGACATATTGTCAAGCTGCTTTGTAGTTATTTATGTTTATATACATAAACAAGGCTACTTCCAGCCCTAATCAGAGAAGCTTATCTTTGCAGTGACTGCAGAGATTCATGCCTATTCAAGGTGCTGAAAATAGTTGACTGTTGAGAGGTCAACTCTAAATAGACACTTGCATCCATCTCCTACTTCAAGGCTCAGGGAATATCACAACAGAGGAAGAAAAGAATTAGAAAAAGCCAAAAAGACAGAAAAGTACCATGAAACTCTGTCTTCTTGACACAGTCTGCTACACTCATGAACACATAAAAGCTGTGGATATCTGTATAAGATGTGAACAAAGAAAATACCTGCTAAAAGTTTCATCATCCCTGGGGAAAGAAGTCATTTCCTTTAGCTATATAATATTCTACACTCAATGTATAACTGCTTACTCATACTCTAAGCAATACTAATTAAAATCATCAGGCCACAAAAAAGAAAATGAGAGGGAGGGAGGGAGGAAAAGAGGGAAGGAGGGAGGCAGGGAGGAAGGGAGGGAGGGAGAGAAAGAGAGATATTAGGAAGGAGAGGTCAGTTTAATAGGAGCAGTTAAGAGAGAGTTATAGGCATTGAATATGATCAAAATATAGTATGTGCATGAAATAGTATTAAAAGATTCTTTAAAAAAACAAAACAAACAAACAAAAAAAACAAACAATCCCAGAAACCACCTTCTTTGTCCCTCAGCTGCCTTTCTGCATTCTATATTAGTGACTTGGGAGGCAAGAGGGAAAGACAGCACAAGCAGTTTTTTCAGTCTTTTCTAGTCCATATATTTGATGCTTTTACATTTTCACACCTTACTGACACTAAAGGGATCACTCAGTCCACAGCACTAAATGTGAACACACTTCCCATTTAGTCAACCATTTAGTCAATTATGGCACAGGCAATTTTCAAGTACTGTTTATTTACCTGAGCTACCAGCCCTATCCTTATCAAAACCTGAAGGCTAGGTATTAAACAGTGACCCTGATGCTTCAGATCCCATTGAAATTGCTCAAAGCCTTCCCCTTGGTCCTTCTTGTTTCCTTTGTGAACCACAAGGCTCTTGCTCACTTTTGGTGCTTGTTCTCTCTGCCTCTTCACCAATTCTAGGAGCTTCTCCATTGCTCCTCTCCATGGCACTTGGCTCCTCCTCTTGGGATCAGTGTTTTCAATGGCAATCATGTTTCACCTGAACAATAATGAAACCTACATTTTGTAATGGACTTCTGAATAGAACTTGGAATGCTGGTATGATTATTGTATGCTTTGGTTTCCTATTTTGCTATGTATAAAACTATAACTTAGGAAAAACATAGAATTTCTACTTAGTAAAAATGAGTTTTTACAGTAAATTTGGATAAAATCTAAAATTATTGAGTAACTGACCCAGAAAAATATCTCCCATACTGCAATAGATACTTTTATCTTGGAGGTAGCTAGTAACTATCTAACTGGACTCAAGACCCCTCAACAGGAGAAAATTCATACCTGGGATTGTGAACCTAACCAACTACCTGTAGATGGAGACACTAGAAGACTACCATTTTCTTAAACAATCTAATTTCTAAATGCATACAAAACAATTAGCTTTATACCCACAGATAAATGTAGCTCTTGCTCCTCATCAAAGAAATTAATATTTTTCCCCAACAGATAGAGTCTATTACAGAGGTCCACAACTGTTCCAGATACAGAGAATAAGGCCTGTGGGGTGCTCAACTCCAAAGGATACATTTGTAACATCATTCCTACACCCAAGGCTCAGAGGACATCATGGAACAGATGCAGGAAAGTGTAAGAGGCAAAGGACCAGGACACCTACTACTAGATATTGTCTCTCTAGGGAAGCTACACCTATGAAATGTCAACAATATGATTACTCAAACAAGACTTGCATAATAACATCAGTTGACATGCCAATGTGGATGGAAGAACTAGTGACAATCAATAGACAATAGAGAATCAGTTTTCTTCAGGGACAAGCTCCCTTATGGGGTTATCCAATCCCAAGAAGTGGAATTGTGCCCACATGTGCACCATGGGTACAGTCACATACTAAAGCCTTGTCTTTAGTATGCATTATTACAGTTGATTAGCTTATGTGTAAGGGAAATGCCCGTTACAGTTCTTAATATACTGCCACAGACAATCTCACCAGTGTTGATTACACAGGAAGGATGTAATTATTCTGGAAGCAAGTGAGCTTGTCACTTCTCCAAGACATGTACATGCATTTTAGTGAACTGCTGATATGCAAACAGCTGACGCTATTGGACTTACTAAGAAGAGATAGCGCTCTTGTGCTGATGTGTTCCGAGCTGCTAGTTTGAGGATTTGTCCTTCTTTTATTAGTTCATTTGAGGGATTTACAATATCTTCTTCTTCTCCCAACATCTCATAAATCTCCAAGAGTTTCTTCAGGTTCTCCTGGGAAATTAAAATAAAATACAGCAAGATCAACTATAAGAACGTAATTTAAATTTAACTAAAATCTACAAAATTGAATAAACATTGACAGTAAGCCTACATTTTCTTTCAAAATGCATCAATAAAATGAATCCTAAGGAAAGGGGGATGAATTACTGACTGGTTGGTAAACACTCTTTTCCACTCACCTCTATCAGTTCACTTTGGCCTAACTCTACACTAGTCAGAGGTTGTATTACCAACTACAGTCTATCCAGAAGGTCCCCACATCTTCTAAAAGCCACTTACCATTTTCCTTATTGCACTATTAGAATGGCTTGCTGCTGTAGATATAATTTCAAGTGACTCTAAATGGGAAAGAGAAAAGTAAATAAATGTTCTGTCTGTCCTGTTTTCCTAGAGTAATAAAGAAACAGAGACCAAGGACAACGAAAGTCTCTGCCAGGCAGTTTCCACCGTTACTGTTAGCAGTTTTTCTACACTTTCACTTGCAAAATGATGTATGTGATGATTAGGATCACAGGTAATTTAATATAGAATAGAATTAAGAAATGATCTTGCAATTACAGTGTACATTTTTATCAGGTTTGAGGCACTTTGCCATGGGTAATTTCATATAAACAGCAGTCCCACACCACCTGCCAATTTGTTGTAGCTCAAACCTACCAAATAGAAGTTGCCAGGAAAAAATTCATATGTTTAAATTTTCTTATAGTACACAGTTAAATTGTTCTATTTTATTACATAGTGTTAATGTCTAATTAACAAATTAAACTATATATGTAAAGTCTGATACTAGTAACAATTAAAGGAGTACATGGAATATTTTGGAAAGCAGCTCCCTCCCTCCCAGTTGCTGAGTTCTTTCATTTCCTTTTGCCACATGATAGAATGAGGAAGTGATGTGACTGGGCCATAGGTCATTAAGACTCAGATTTCTGATGCTACAGTTTGCCTACTAAACATAAACAGCTTTTTTTTTTTTTTTTTTGGGAAAGTATGGCAGCCTGATGCTGATGGAGAGAGTCTGAGGGCTTTACATCCTGACAGTGCTGGGAGGGAAATGGAAGGGAGGAATGTGGAATGGCATGTCATTACCAGGCTATGCTCCCCACTTTCTCCAGGATTTCTGTGGGACCTCTAGCAATATCTTAGGGACTGATAACACCAGTATTTCAAAACTAGATAGTCAACATAATTTTTTGTTTTCATTTGAAAGTGTCCCCAGTCTGTGTGGTCAGTGGTGTAAAAACAGCTTCCAATCCTTTTGGGGCTTTTCTGTATCAAGTGCTGTACTTAGTGGTCAAGAGGAATGGGGGAGGCAATGTCTTTAGGGCAGGATCTGACTGAGGAGTTTGTCTTTGCATCCCTGATGTTCTGAGCAGTTGTGTTCCATGCTCTGTGGCCTGCTTGACTCATAGGCTGAGCTCTGAAAGTTCACTTGCTAAACATGACTCCTCCTAAGGCAGGGAAAGAAGGTGTGGTCACTTAAAAAGAAAATGACAGAGCATCTTTACATATTCCAGGACCATGTGAGTACACACAGTTCTGTGGGTGACATACAAAATCCAGGATGAAGTAAAAAAACAGCAGAGGCCAGGGCAACTGCCAAGAGAAGTGTAGGAAGAACTGTAAGACCTACTTCCAGTTCACCCAAAACTTGGCCATTAGTACTTGGAACTTATGGGAGAAAACAAAGCTCTAGCAGAATGGCTCGGAAGTATCAGGGCAGGGGATGATCACAAGTCAAACTATACAAACTGGAGAAGGGGCAAAGAGTGTGAGATGTTTCTGTGGTCACTGTGTCATAGGTATGGCGGGAAAACAACAGAGTTGGCCTGTGTTCTAGGTGAGACATGGATCCTCATTTCAGAATAACACTGGCTAAGGAAGGAACCAAGGACATGTAGAAACAAATTAAACTAGCACTATTAGCACTTGGCAAATATTGAACCATGATTATTTCTTAATTTTTTACTCATCTATTTACTTTTTGAGAGGTTTAAGAAACTATACTAGAGGGGAGGTAAAACATGAGTTTTGTTGGTTTGGTTGGTTTATTTAGACAGTCTCACTATGTAGCCCTGGCTGACCCAGAACTCACAGAGATCTACTTGCCTCTGCCTCTAGTGATGAGATTTAAAGCCATTACATATTATGTATCATGCAGATATTAGAATGTAATATGCAAATCTCTGGACTCAATCTCTGACATCACAAAAAATTTATAACTGCAGGAAAAGCTAAAAAATTAGTGAAACTCATTAACTAGTCTTAAAAAATTTTTAATCTACCTAATGAAGTAATTAAAGATGACCAACACTATTGGAATAAAGTGTTGTTTTTTCCTCGAGGAAACTGTTACTATACTATTCTATACTATACTATACTATACTATACTATACTATACTATACTATACTATACTATACTATATAAAGCCCTACACATCCTGTGTATCTTAGGGAGTAAGGCTAACAGTTATATTATCACAGTAAATGTCTTTCTAACTTTCTGACAAACATCAGCCGCATTTATGAGAAGGAAACTATATTACTACCTCAAGCTTATCTCTAAGCTTATGGGTTTAGACCTCAGCAATTAACATGAATCCAGAATGGGAAGCTGGTTTGCACTTCTCTAAGCCAGCGTGATCCCGACTTAAAATGGCCTGCTTAATTAGGGTGCTGACAACGATTTCCACATCTTTGGAATTAAAGGGCCATTTGGCTATATCATTCTGTCACTGTTGAGGAAGGCTAAAAGCATTTACTTTTTGCATCATTCCAGTCTGGGGAGTCAGGGGACAGCTTCTTCAGGTAGTCCTTGAGGAGCATCTCATAGCGCGGGATCCGCTGAATAGGCTCCAGCATGTGATGCTGCAAGGTTAGGTTTCCACAGATCTTCTGTTTCTGTAATCAGCAAGGTTTTTATTTTTAAATGTTGTTATTACATTTATTTATTTATTGTATGTGCAAGTGAGTATGAGGTCAGAGGGCAACCTGCATCACTCAGTCAGGTCATCAGTCCTTTACCATTGAGCCATCTCACTAACCACTGTAATCAAGGATTTTAAAGGAATGTTCAAAAATTAGGTTAACCAATATAAAACCTCAATGTAATAAAGAACTTTCACCAAGGACAGTATTTCCTATGGTTATAGCTGCATAGCACATCTGGGGTGCTTGGCAAAGTGCTGGTTTCTGAGTCCACTTCCACCCATACCCTGAGTCTATGAAATCACAATGCTGGGAGAAGCCAGAGAATATGCTTTTAAAATACCACATATCGCTGCCCATATGAAACGAAGATACCGAGTTTCCCTTCAGCAAAGTCACCTTCCATTCTGGCTATTCCAAGGTTATTTGCCAAGGACAATGAAAGGCATTTCCAGCCACTCTGTCTCTCTTTGGAACTCACCAGAACCCAGAATGCTCCCCACCAGGGACCCTTCAGCCTTCCCACTTGGCACAGAGACACAGGTAGGCTACCTGTACTTAAGTTCACAGGCCCCTTCATTGACTGCTTGCCAGAGACTTTCACCTTCTCTGGCCCACCTCTTTCTCTTTGGGACTTATAAATTCTCAGTCTGTTTTCCACATGGGACTCTAGCCAGCCTATGTGGCTGGAAGATTCAAGCTCTTCTTTCAAGACTTCCCAGAACTCTGCCAGCTGACCGACTGCAGCCCTCTGGTCACCATAACCAGGCTTGAGACCTAGGACCACTCTATAATGCCAGAGGAAATTATTATAGGATCCTTGTTCCCAAACCACTGATGAGAACAGTAGTTGATGAACAGAGACCTAGCATAGAGGATATAACCCAAACTACCAGACAAATAGAGGAAATTGACATGCCAACTCTGCCATAAATTTGACTCCACCTAAACATTATAAATACCCCCAATGAAAGAAAGGTGATTTGAACAAAAAGAAAAACTCAACCAACAAACTAACTCCAGCTGCACAAATCTCAACACATAAATAAAAACACCACTATACACACACACACACACAAACATAAACACACACACACACATCCAAACAAACAAAAAGCAAAAAAAAAAAAAAAAAATACATTTCCTTCCCCAAATATAAATCCCATGTTAAAAGTCCCTCACAGAAGGGAGAAGAGACAAGTACCCCAGAGCACATGGGAAGTGGGGGGGGCAGTAAATGGAGAGAGAAATAAGAGAGAGAGAAGGGGAGGAGAAGAATGCACATGTGACTAGGAAGATTGAGTCAGGGTAAGAATAGAAGACAGGAGACAGAGAGAGAGAGAGAGAGAGAGAGAGAGAGAGAGAGAGAGGGAGAGGGAGAGGGAGAGGGAGAGGGAGAGGGAGAGGGAGAGGGAGAGGGAGAGGGAGAGGGAGAGGGAGAGGGAGAGGGAGAGGGAGAGAGAGAGAAGATAAAAGAGGGAGCCAATATTGGTTTGAAGAGAAAACTGAACCTAAACAATGGTCTAGAGACCTACTATACCCAGCAAAACTCTCAATCACTATAGATGGAGAAAACAAGATATTTAATGACAAAACCAGATTTTCCCAATTCGTATCTACAAATCCAGCCTTACATAAAGTATTGGAAGGAAAACTCCAACCCAAGGAAGGTAACTACGCCCACAAAAATGTAGGCAATAGATAATCTAACTACACCAGAAACCAAGGGTTAAGCAGAACAAATGTATTCACAATACCACTGCCAACAACAAACATAAATCAAGCAAGCATCAACAATCAATGGTTCTTACTCACCCTCAACATTAATGGTCTTAACTCACCTATAAAAAGATACAGGCTAACAGGATGGATACGAAGACAGAATCCATCCTTCTGCTGCATACAGGAAACACATCTAAGCTTCAAAGATAGATATTATCTCAGGGTAAAGGGTTGGGGAAAGATCTTCCAATCAAATGGAACCAAGAAGCAAGCAGGCATAGCTATCCTAATATCTAACAAGTTAGACTTCAAACCAAAATCAATCAAAAGAGATGAAGATGGTCATTTCTTATTCATCGCAGGAAAAATCCATCAACACAAAGTCTCAGTTCTGAACATCAATGTCCCAAATACAAAGGCACCCACATTCGTAAAAGAAAGGCTACTAAAACTCAAAGCTCATATAAAACCTCACACACATATAGTGGGAGACTTCAATATACCACTCTCAACATTAGACAGGACGACCAATCAAAAACTCAACAAAGAAGCAAAATAACTTGCAGAAGTTATGTCTCAACTGGGTTTAACAGACATCTATAGAACATTCCATCCAAACACAAAAGAATATACCTTCTTCTCTGTTCCACATGGAAACTTCTCTAAAATTGAACACATACTAGGTGGCATAACAAACCTCAACAGATACAAGAGAATAGGAATAGTCCCCTGTATCTTATCAGACCACTATGCTTTAAAATTGGAATTCAACAACAACACAAATACCAGAAAACCTGCAAATTCAAGGAAACTGAACAATGTGCAATTGCACCACACCTGGGTCAAAGAAGAAATAAAGAAAGAAATTAAGGACTTTCTAAAATTCAACGAGAATGAGGACACAACATACCCAAACTTATGGGACACTTTGAAAGCAGTGCTATGAGGGAAGTTCATTGCACTAAGTGCCCATATGAAGAAAATAGTCACATTAGAGAATTAACAGCACAATTGAAAGCCTTAGAACAAAAAGAAGCAAACTCACCTCAGAGGAGTGGATGCCAGGAAATAATCAATTTGAGGACTGAAATCAATAAAATAGAAACCAGGAAAACAATACAAAAAAAAAAAAAAAAAAAAAAAAAAAAAAAACCAACAACAACAACAAAAAAAAAAAACAATGCAAGAAAGAGTTGGTTTTTCAAGAAAATCAACAAGATAGACAAACCTTTATCCAAATTAATGAAAAAGCAGAGAACATGCAAATTAACAAAATCAGAAACGAAAAGGGGGGTATAACAACACAGAGGAAATCCAGACAATTTTCAGGTCATACTTTGAAAAACTGTATTCCACAAAAATTGAAAATTCAAAGGAAATGGACTAATTTCTGGATAACTATCACTTACCAAAATTAAATCAAGAACAGATAAGCAACTTAAATACACCTAATGAACATTGATGCAAAAATAATCAATAAAATACTGGCAAACGGAATTCAAGAATACATCAGAGAAATCACCCACCATGACCAAGTAGGCTTCATCCCTGGGTTGCAGGGATGGTTTAACTTACAAAAATCTATCAATTAGATCCACCATATAAACAAATTGAAAAAGAAAAACCATATGATCATCTCCCTCGATGCTGAAAAAGCCTTCGACAAAATTCAATACCCTTTCATGATAAACGTCTTGGAGAGATCAGGGATAAGAGGAACATAGCTAAACATAATAAGAGCAATATACAGTAAACCAACTGCCAACATCAAACTGAATGGAGAGAAGCTTAAGGCGATTCCTCTAAAATCAGGAACAAGACAAGGCTGTCCTCTCTCTCTCTCCATCTCTTCAATATTGTACTTGAAGTTCTAGCTAAAGCTATAGGACAACAAAAGGAGATCAAGGGGATCCAAATTAGAAAGGAAGAAGTCAAACTGTCTCTATTTGCAGATGATATGATAGTTTACATAAGTGATCCAATAAACTCTATTAGGGAACTCCTACAGCTGATAAACCTTCAGCAATCTAGCAGGATACAAGATAATCTCAAACACATCAGTAGCCTTACTTTTTTCAGACGACAAAGAGACAGAGAAAGAAATCAGAGAAACATCATCCTTTACAATAGCCACAAACAACATAAAGTATCTTGGGGTAACGCTTACCAAACAAGTGAAAGACCTATATGGCAAGAACTTTATGTCTTTAAAGAAAGAAATTAAAGAAGATACCAGAAAATGGAAAGATCTCCCATGCTCTTGGATAGGTAGGATAAAAATAGTAAAAATGGCAATCTTGCCAAAAGCAATCCCCATTAAAATCCCAGCACAATTCTTTACTGACCTTGAAAGGATAATAATCAACTTTATATGGAAAAACAAAAGACCCAAGATAGCCAAAACAATCCTGTACAATAAAAGAACTCCAGGAGGCATCACCATTCCTGACTTTAAACTCTACTACAGAGCTATAGTTCTGAAAACAGCCTGGTATTGGCACAAAAATAGACATGTAGACCAGTGGAATCAAATAGAAAATCCTGAGGTTAACCCACACACCCATGAACACCTGATTTTTGACAAAACAGCTAAAAGAATACAATGCTGGGAGGAAAGCATCGTCAACAAATGGTGCTGGCACAATTAGATGAGGGTGTGTAGAAGACTGCAGATAGACCCATGTCTATCACCATGCACAAAACTCAAGTCCAAATGGATCAAAAATCTCAACATAAATCCAGCCACACTGAACCTCTTAGAAGGGAAAGTAGGAGGTACCCTTGAACAAAGTGGAATATGAGACTGCTTCCTGAACATAACCTCAGTAGCACAGACACTAAGGTCGACAATTAATAAATGGTTTCTCCTCAAACTTAGAAGCCCCTGTAAGGCAAAGGACATAGTGGACAAGACCAAATGGCAGCCCACAGACTGGGAAAAGATTTTTATCAATCCTATATCTGACAAAGGGCTGATCTACAAAATATACAAAGAACTCAAGAAACTAGTCAACAAAACACCAAATAACCCTATTTAAAAATGGGGTACAGAACTGAAGAAAGAATTCTCAATAGAGGAAATCAAAAAGGCTGAAAGACATTTAAGATAGTCTTAATGCAGGGAAATGCAAATCAAAACAGCTCTCAACAAAACACCAAATAACCCTATTTAAAAATGGGGTACAGAACTGAAGAAAGAATTCTCAATAGAGGAAATCAAAAAGGCTGAAAGACATTTAAGATAGTCTTAA